TGCAGGAGCACAAGGCAACTTCTTCAAAAGACCATTTTATGGTGACAGCCAACAATATCATTGCAACAGCCTTAGGAGTGTGATGCTGGAGTGTTATTTACTTCATTCTGTGACCAACCTCGGATGAGTTGGTCATACAACCACATGAATGGACACAGATTCTAATAAATATGATTTTTAAAATAGCCCAATAAACAACTTTGTCAGTCATGGCCCAGGCACCCATTTCCCTTGGCTCGAGCTGAGATGTGCAGTACAAACATAAGGCTGAAGTGTAATATGAGAGAGTGATTCATTGGAGGAAACTTAAAACCTCCAACAACAAGATGATTCATACCTTGAGTGCTAATGGTGTTTTGCAGTAACCTCAATTTACTGGTTTTGCATTTCCATATCAAATGATTTACAAGTGTCCACATGTCCTTACATGTTTATATGTGCACTTGGGTGCGATTCAGCTGACATTAAATAAGCCTATCTATATTTAATGGGAGTCTCTCTTTGAAGATGAAAAGCCCAGTAGCATCTTTGCTTTCCAAGACCCTTAATTAGGAGGCTACTAGGCATCACTTGGGGTAATAAAATATACATTATGATGCATCTTCTCTGAGCTCTCTTAGGTCTTGAAAAGCTAAGGACAAGGTTCTAGTAGCAAACTACATGGATGTAAGCATGAGTGATGGTTTTGATGAGGAATGGACCCAGTTTCCAAAGAAGATAAAACCAGAAATTTCTAAAGGCACTTATACACTTCACACCTCTGGATTTCAGTGATGTCTGGGTACTTACGCATCTTTCAGGAATTTGCCACTAATGTCTTTCAGAAAGGTTTTCAGTTCTCACAGACTTCTGTCAAGTGTGAATTTCCATTGACCACGTGGATAGGTTTTCAGTTCTCAGCAAGATCATTTCCTTTCATCAGATCAGTAGATAAATAAATCTCAACAAGGGGCTGGGATATTTTGTATTTTTCTGCTAAAGAGAGTCACTTGGATTATGTACCAAAAAATAATTGGAACTGCTGGTTTTATGGTTCACTTGTTTTCTCCCTCTTTGTCCTTTTGTGTAAAGCACTTTGCTGTAGAAGATGCAGCATGTCCCAATGCACATACAGGACAAGCACCTGCTATTCAGCCTCTTGAACTGGAGCTTGTGAGAACTGATGCAACATTGATCAGAAGGCATAAAAGCAGTGAAATGTGCTCTGGAAATCAGGCATAATCAGGCAGATAGTGTGATAGGGCTTGTAGAGTGCCACTGTTAGGAACCAGAGGGTAACAGAGCATTGCACTGTTACATTTGAAAGTGCATCACTACCTACAAGCCAGGATATACAGCCACAATACCCCAAGAACACCTATTTAACGAGGAGGTGCAGTGGTTTATTTACTGTCAAAGACAAAGATACAGAAGTATCCACTCATTCAGCAGTGTTATCTTGTTTACAATTTATTGGCTGTCTTAACAGTATAGCTGTCTTAGCCGAGCAGTATTTCACTTCTACATTTCAAGATATTTCACACATCACAAAAGGTGTGTCATTCATAGATCCTGCTGTTACCTGGGGCAATCTTAGGTCTTTGTCTTTGCTGTCTTGGAACACTGTATAACATGAAATCACTGCACAAGTGGACGCTCTGTGCTCCTGCATATTATAATGTGACCTTCCCAGCAGATTTCAGCATTTGCAACTCACTACACTGTGGATTTCCAATGCTGTACTAGTGGGCTAACCAAACTTAGTTTAGAAAGTAACACACCAAACTTAATCTGGATTGAACTTGTTTACACAAGGGATTAATTTTCCTGTTTTCTCTCACTGGCCTTCATTGATCTCTTTTTCTTTTGCAGTCATCACCACCACAGTATCTGGTTGTTTACTTGTAAGTAAGTTTAGCATAGGTGCTTTACAGTTTGAAGAGCTGACCATGCACATCCACATGCAACCATAAAAACCTACAAGGTCACAGAGGACTGTAGATTCCTCATGACTCCAAATATCCTTAAAACTACACCACCATGATTCTTTTGAAAATCATCTTCCTTGGTGAGGTATGTATCTGCTCAGCCATGAACAAGAGATACTGAACTGGCTTTTCAAGAACTGTAGATGTTTCCAGTCACTGCAAGATCTTTGTAATTTGTTTTTTCCCCCATTTCAGAATTGTCACATTGTCAAGGAGGGTTGGGGAGCAATGATGGTGTTAGAGGCTCTCCATGTTCTGATTCCCAAAGAGTGGCCTTGCTGCTCCGCAGGACTGGCTGCTCTAAGGGGTCAAATGAACTTTCACAGACAAGACTGTAAACATTTTCCTTGCAAATCAAGATTAATTTCCAGTACAAACCAGGGTGAGAATCACTGCTGCTAGCAGCCATCCAGAAATTTTGCATCCACCAGGCAGGACCCAGCAGGTGAGGAGCCACCTTATCCAACCTGTCAGGCTTGAGCGAGATGTTTCCTGAGGAAGACCTGACCAAGTGAGACTATTCTCTCATCCTTAAGGAGACAAGGCTGCTTCCCTTTGTCTCTGATTAAAACAGATTGTGCCTGTTTCCATGGTGATAAGAGATGCTCTGAAAAACACTACTTTGGAATCTATAGAAGCCTATGTAGTGCTGTGCTCTAGTGATTTTATTAAAGTTGGTAGCAATAATGGTAAGATGCCGGGACTCCATAATGTCACGGGTGTAAAGAATTGGATTCAAATAGAAAGTTACTACTTTTGGTTTGAGAGTCCCACAAGCCCAAAACAGAGGAAAGTGGAGAATTACACTCAATAAATACCTGCTTTTTCTGTTCTGATATTCTTTCCAAGGCACCTATTGTTACTCTCTACTGAAGGCAAGATGTTGAGCTAGATGGATGTGTTGGACTTGTGTGTGTGGTGGGGTTTTTGGTGGAGGGGAGGTGGCTACAACAGTGGCCCCTGTGAGAAGCTTCTCAAAGCTCCCCCAGCTCCAAGTCAGACCCACCTCTGACCAGGGCCAAGCCAATTAGCAATGGTGGATGAGCCTCTATGAGAACATATTTAAGAAGGAGAACCTGTGAGGAGAGGTGGGAGTTGTGAGGAGGGAGTCCTCACCGAGGTCAGTGGAAGGAAGGAGGGGGAAGGGGGCGTGGTGGACCAGAGCAGAGCCCCTTTGTATCCTGATGGCAGGGCTGTCCCCCCACCCCCCATGTTGGTCCATGGTAGAGCAGAGGCTGACCTGAAGCCTGTGGAGGAGCCCACACAGGACAGATGGCTGTGCTTCAAGGAAGCCTGGAATCTGAGGAGAGAAGAAGCCCCTGTTTTTGTCGTTCAGCACTGGGAAGACAGCAACACACAGGGGTGACCCATGCTAAGGCAGTTTAGGAAGGGCTGTGGCCCATGGTAAGGACTCATGTCGAAAAAAGTTAATGGAAGACTGTCTCCAGTGAGAGGGGGACCATGCTGGAGCAGGGTAAGAATGAAAGGAGTCCTCCCCCCAAGGAGGAAGAAGCAGCAGCACTGACTGCACCCCTCATGCCCTGCCTCCTGCATGGCTGGAGGGGAGGAGGTAGAGAGACGGGGAGCAGACCTGAGCCTGGGAAGAAAGGAGGGGCGGGGGGAGGTGTTTTTAAGATGTGGTAATGCTTCTCACTCTCCTACTCTGTCTGTTAAGTGCTGTTGTTGATAGTATTTGAATTAAATTGATGCTCTTTTTCTTCCCCAGTTGAGTCTGTCTTTTGCCTGTGACTATAATGGGTGATCCATCCCTCCCTGTCCTTATCTCAGTTTGTCAGCCTTTTGTTGTATTTTCTCCTTCCCAGTCCTAAGGGGGAAGTGATGAGTGAGCAGCTTCATCATGCTCAGTTGCCCTCTGGGCTCAAACCACAATGGACAATGGACCATTGGTAAGATCCTGTTTGGCCTCTCTGATGTCCTTGAATTACCAAACCATAGCTGAGACAAATAATACACATAGTCATTTTGATCATGTTATGCAAGTTAACTGGCTTGCATAGATATGAATCAAAAAAGCACACATCTAACTGTGAAAATTTTCAGAAACACCCGAGTGCTTTTTGAGTTGAACTGGCCAGAAAGCAAGGAGTCATCTCACATAAGAAATGCAAGGTTAGAAATGACTGGTCCTTCCACACTGGAATGATGTAGGAATGTTTCCAGTTAAAGAAATCTTGTTTGAGTTCTGTGAGAAGCTCTGTGGCTGGGTGACAGTCCTAGGCTAGGGCAGAGGAGAGGCTTGTAGACAGGATAGAAATGAGCATTAATTTGCTAGCTGCAAATGAGCCAGGGCAGGGAGGTGAATACAGACACCCTCTGTGGGCACATCCTAACATCATGCTCTCAGCTACTTTGGTGTGACGTCTTTCTTTTGATGTCTCTGTCTAGAACATGCATCCTGCATCAAAGACAGCTTCTTGACATATTTTTATGAAATACTTCAATAAAAATCTCACCCAAGATCTCCAGACCCTCACAGGCAAGAGTAGCAGTCACCAAACACAAAGCCTAGGTCACCTCTGAACACAGAGCTCTGGAGATCACAGCTCTGGGACACTACTGGGAAGAAGAGGTTACTCTGTGCAACAGGAAGGCAGAGCTCTGTGGTGATTTACTGTACTGAACTGCAGCTGCACTCAGTTTAAAATGAAACAGAATTTGCATAGCTCTCCATTTCACAGAAAGCCAGTGTCAGGAGGGAGGGGGGAGGGAGGAGGTGGCACAACTGATCTTGGTAACTATTCACCTTCTGACATCAGAAACCTTCGACACAGCATACAAGACTGCTGTAGCGAAATCCCTGATCAAGAACATGAAGCTCCTTCCCCTCTTCACAGTGGCGTCCTGCTTCACGCCTCCAGGTCCCTCTTTCTTTGTACTACAAGTGATGAAGTTTTTTTTCCAGATCACATGAGCCAGGATGAAGGGGGAAAATCCTGCCAGGAACAGAGATGGGCTGCAACTTGAACCTGATCAAGGAGAGATACTGAGCAGTACTCTGAGAGCTATATAAGAATGTGCTCGGCACAAGAGCAAACACTTTTTCAGGTGAAGGACTCTCATGAATCAGCCATGCATGTGAATGAAGACACCATTTCAAGAAGGGTTGGACCCACTAGCAAAACATCTTTGTATTTCATCATCGCTACCCTTGTTGTGTTACTCATCTTTGCATTAGCCACCATCATGGTCTTAGTCGTTCAGAGGACGGTAAGAAATTTCTTTCTTTATTCATTGGCTTTTTCTTTTTCTTTTTCTTTTTCTTTTTCTTTTTCTTTTTCTTTTTCTTTTTCTTTTTCTTTTTCTTTTTCTTTTTCTTTTTCTTTTTCTTTTTCTTTTTCTTTTTCTTTTTCTTTTTCTTTTTCTTTTTCTTTTTCTTTTTCTTTTTCTTTTTCTTTTTCTTTTTCTTTTTCTTTTCTTTTTTTTCTTTTTCTTTTTCTTTTTCTTTTTCTTTTTCTCTTTTTCTTTTTCTTTTTCTTTTTCTTTTTCTTTTTCTTTTTCTTTTTCTTTTTCTTTTTCTTTTTCTTTTTCTTTTTCTTTTTCTTTTTCTTTTTCTTTTTCTTTTTTAAATTTTTTTCACTTTTTTGCTCTCTTTCTTTCTTTCTTTCTTTCTTTCTTTCTTTCTTTCTTTTCTTTCTTTCTTTCTTTCTTTCTTTCTTTCTTTCTTTCTTTCTTTCTTTCTTTCTTTCTTTCTTTCTTTCTTTCTTTCTTTCTTTCTTTCTTTCTTTCTTTCTTTCTTTCTTTCTTTCTTTCTTTCTTTCTTTCTTTCTTTCTTTCTTTCTTTCTTTCTCCATTTTTTTAATTTATTTATTTATTTATCCATTTTATTTATTTATTTATTTATCCAATTATTTATTTATTTATTCCTTTATTCCTTTATTTATTTATTTATTTGTTTATTTGTTTATTTATTTTTCTATTATTTCTTTCTACTCTTTTCCTTCCTTCCTTCCTTCCTTCCTTCCTTCCTTCCTTCCTTCCTTCCTTCCTTCCTTCCTTCCTTCCTTCCTTCCTTCCTTCCTTCCTTCCTTCCTTCCTTCCTTCCTTCCTTCCTTCCTTCCTTCCTTCCTTCCTTCCTTCCTTCCCTCCTTCTTTTTTGCTTTCCAAAAATTATTCTGTGGACAGAAAATCAGCCATTGCCTCCTGTTATAAATGAATGCAATCCTGTTATAAGATGAAGTAAAGAAGGGGATAAAATAACTTTCAAAAAAAAAAAAAGCCCTTTCTCCATGGGCAGCAATAATTTCTAGCATGCAATTTTTACTCTGCAAATGGTAGTGGAAAGCTCATAGTCCAAGATGCAATCCACCCTCTGTCCTGCCTATTTAGGAGAAGAGGTGGAGAGATGATAGATCAGTGCCTCAGTGTCTGCTGCCAGGTTTTACATGTGTCTCCTGTTGCTTCTTTGGCGGGTGACCACTGTCTGGTCTGGTCTGGTCTGGTTGTGTCTGCATGTTTTCTTCTAAAATATTGATAAATTTCAATAACAGCCATAACACAAGACATCTCTCTGTGACATTATGGGGCTCTCTGCTGGCATTAATCATGATGTGGTGAAGCAGAGCTCTCTTGAACTACCCAGAGCAGTGGATGGTGGCACAGTAGCTCACTGCTGCTCTCTTTTTTGGCAGTTCATTTTCTTGGGTGGTATTTTTAATTCAGAATTAGAACTATAGCAAGGCTGACTGAGGATGTAAGTGAGGCAAAGTCTCACAAAAACAACTGTTCCCTCTGCTTACAAACATTTTTTCCTTCTTAAAATAGAAGATTGCTCTCAAGTGGATCTGGGGTTGAATGGGGGAATCAGTGAGACAGTTAGAGCCAAGAGAGAGGTACAGGTGGTTGTGAATATAAAAAGTGCATTTCTAATCTTACCAGGAACATTGCCATGAACTTTACCAGAGTAAAATGCCAGATTATAACTTTTACAGGCTTTGAAATCCTATTGCAAAAATCTAAGTGCCAAAGTACCTACACTACTATTTGTAGAATGAAAGAACTATCATGGGGCTGCTGGAGAAAGTTGGCCATGGAAAACAGAATATGATCCTTCAACTCAGTATTTTCTTTTACTAAATTTACCCTGTGTAATTTGTGTGTCTGTGTATGCACATTACCCAGAAATTAAACCAAAATTGACTGATACTTCTTTAAGTTGCACCAGAGAGGAGTTATTTACCTGAAATCAGTGTTCTTCCAAAAGAGAAGCAGTTTGAGCACAGTTAGAATGAGACATGAGGGTTTTCAAGTGATAAATAGTGGGACATTAAGAGAAATCTTTAAAATAACAGCCTGGGTAGTTACAGAATTGCCACAGCTTTCTTATATAATGAGGCTTTCATTTGTACTTATTATGAAAGTAAGCATTACATTACCTCTCCATCAGGATAAACGCAGTTACTCTAGTTGCCAGAGGAACAATATTACTGAAAAAGCCAAGGTTTTCATTTAAAAGAGTAATGACATTATTGCAGCTGCTTTGGAAATGAGCTTGGCTAAAGGAGAAAGTAGGAAGCTGAGGTGTGTGAGAAACAAATAAAATCAGACAGCAATTTTACTCTGAGAGAAGGATTTGGCAGAAAAAGCATAACTTGTGTTCTTGCTCCCAGAGAGCCAAAAGACCCCAAGTTCAGAAACAGCATAGTCATTCTCCAGCTGTAACTGGTCTTGAATTTCCAAACCAGGGCACAAGTGTTGATTTTGTGAGACAGGTTCCTCAAGAAACTCCAGGGATTTCTCCAAAAACACTAGCTCATGGTCACACTGTCACCATAAGGTTAGGCACAAACTTTTTTGGCAAATACAGTTGTGATTGGGCTGAGCATCTTGTGGTATTGACTTCAGCAGCTCCAAGACAGTGGGTCTGGGGGGTTCTCATACTTGGAGCCCTGTGGATACTGAGTTCTGTTGCTGTAGGGATTAGAGAGTCATCACTGGCTTAATTATTTTCTTTATAACTTCTGAAGAGAGGACCAACATTTTGCGTGATCAAGCTCTTGGGAAGATCTGGTTTTCTCTCCAGATGTTTTCAGCTGGATTATGTGAGTGGTCCTTGACCACAGGGGCAGTGGGGGTAATTTCATGACTTCCCTATGCTCAGGTGAGATAGAAACTTTTATTTTCCTCTGTTCAAAGGAGTGTTAGAGTGTCTGAGTGACAATGCAGGCCTGAACCATGCCTCGGGTACCACTGCATTAAGAGGAGGCTTCTGGTGGCAAGCAGATCACACTCTCCCCTAGCCTCATTGCAGGTGCATGGAAGTTGCTGCTTGTCTTCCTTTTGATGAATTTACATCTGCCTAATTTAAGATGAAGGAAGATGCATTGGAAAGGGAAAATCAAACTGTATGGAAAGAAGACATTCACATCACCCAAAATCTAGGTGCTGTGAACAAGGGAATTCCAACATGAAAGACCAATCTATCAGCATTTCTAATACACATTACCCTGTTTTTTCCAGTACCCCAAGAAATTTCCTTTACGCTTTGTTTTCAAGAAGGGTGTCACAGCACATTAGTGTCAGACCTGGAAAGTGTCATTTTTTGGAACTAAAATACGTTTTTTTTGAACTAACTACGCACAATGCTGAAGTTAGTTAATTTCTTCAGCTTTCATCTGCAGAAACTCTTGGCTTCAGGCCATTTACTTTACTTCACAAGTGACTTTATTTATCTCTGAATAAGAATAGCCGCTGTATGGTGGGCCGTAGCCTTCATTTTTTAACACTATTGTAAGAGTGCTAAAACTTCCACCCTTCTACTTGCTGCATTTCACTGCTGCTGGTTATACGTATATATACACATCTATGTAGATACTTATGTATACAAAGAGATATATGCAAAATCAGTGAAAGAGTATGGGACAGAAAGGACTAGACAAATGCACTTTTAAGACACATGGACCCTAGAAAATCTTATGCTGTGCTGGAAGATATGCTGTATCAGACACCTAGGCCACCTACCCCTGTGAACAAATTCTGTGTGAATGTCCAAACTTCATAATCTGGGACAGTCTGTCACGGTGCTGGATTTTGTAAACTTTATATTTTTAACCTCCAAACTGTGCTGGCAAATATTTTCAGCACTGTTAAAGCACCAATGTGGCAAATGCTAAAAATTGGTGCAGTTATTTGTCTTTGCTGATCTAGCTGTTGGAGTTAAAATTGTAAAACCCCTTCAGCAGTGGGACTGCCATAACACACTGGTAATTGTCCCTGAAAGCAGATTTCCCACTTGTTGAACCCCACAGGAAAACCACTGAGGAATTTTAGAGGAAAACTGCGCTGTTCCAACTCTTGCCATTGGTATTCTGTACAGTGACTGTCACCTGCTGTCTAGAGGTGTCATTTTAATAGGTTTTGTCAGTACTGGAAAAACTGAATTTCACACAGGGCTCTGTTTCCTGTGATGTTTGTTATCAGATCAGCTGCAGGAACGGTGCTCCTCTTTCTGGAGTTTTCATGTGTAGGTTCTACCTTTGCCTCTTGGCAACTCAGGGCTGCCTACCTGAAGTGCCACCGCCTGCCTTCCCCCTCAGCCACCAGCAGGTAATGATGGTTTGAGCCTGAGCAGAAACACGGGAGAGCCTTGAGGCTTTTTTTCAAATTGCAAAACGTTCTTTGAGGATAGCAGTTCAAAGAGCTCGTCCCCGCTGAGCTGCTGTGTGGACATGCTCTTGGAAGAGCCCTGGATCTAGTTAAGCTGACCCCAGGCCAGTTTCTGGGGGACTGTGGCTTGGAGGTGTGTTTTCTCGGATTTCTAGAGGCAGATACACACCTCAAAGATCTCTGGTTAAATGAATATTCACAGTTCTGAGACAAGACACTAGAATGACCCTCTAGCAGCACCAGTATGTCCCAGCTTGGGAAAATTTCTTGTCAAATGATTAAGTGAAAGAAGACATAAATTACTTCCACTGGCACCTGATTATCATTTTCTCTAATGAAACAAACTCAAATTACTCTGCTTGCTGAATAAGGACTGAGATCCTTCATCATCAGCACTCAGATCACTCTAGACAGGGTGAAACTCACTGTCATGAATTCTTCCTGAGCTGGCACTGTAGAATGTAATCTCTTTGGGCTCCTACTGTGTGCATTTTTACCTTCCAAATTACACCATTACATGCAATATTTTTTCCACTAGAAAAAAAAAAAAAAGAAAAAAGTAATGACAGTAATATTTCAAAGCAAGCTCTAAAGTTTTATTTGAATATCTACTCAACTGTCTCAAAATAAATTGCATTAATATCTGCTGTTTTCACCCACTGGGAGAATTCCCAGGTGAGAACACAATACATTACTATGTTTTAATTTTGTTTCTGCTGCCCTGACTACAAAACAAGCTGTGAGCACCAGCCTTGTCCTGCATGCCATCTCCAAGGGAGGGCTGCAAGGTGGACACCTCACTGATGGTAATGTCTCAATCATTTTACCAAACACTTCTCTACAGGCAGCTGCCTGATTTCATTTAGTATAATCTAGTTGGGGACAGAGCATCACCTTTCTCTCATGAAAAAAATGCATTGAAAAGTAATGCTTCCCTGCGCTCTGAGTGCGTGAGAGGGAGAGCCCCATGTCAGGGTCCAGGACAGGAGCTGAGAGGCTCTGTCAGAGGGTGCTTGGGAGTGTTTTCAACTGAGAATCTTCTCAATCCCACATCTGATGATATGGTTGCATAGGATCCATGAGAGTTTGGGAGGGAGGATGTTGTATAGGGGAACAAAAAGCTTGGAAATGCCTGTTTTTTCAAACTAGAGCTCTATATTCCCATTCTTCTCTTAACCCCACAGCCTTCTACGGCTTAGGAAGATCACCCGGAGAAACACTTTGTCTCAACAGATAACTTCTCCCCTGTCATACACAGGTGTGGGGAAACAAAACATATAAATCAGATATTACAGATACCTAAATCATGAAGCACCTCCGCTATCTCTGGCTGCAGGACAGAGCATTTTGGCATTAGACCAAAGGATAAGATTGTTTTTCTGGGATCAGATGCTGCTCTACGCTTCAGCCATGGTTAAAAACATGGTCACATTAGGACAAAGTCTAATTAAAAGTATTCTTAAACATTTAAAGCTAGAACACTAAGTACCACAAACAGACACCACATGACTTCTCTCACTCCCCAACCATCCTCCTTCTCCCCACACCACACAATATCCTATTTGCACCCAGAATAAAGTTCTTATGTTTTGAGACCGCTATGGTTGAAGTCGTCTCCCACCGCATGCATGGTCTGCCTCATTTCTCCCAGGAGATTACTAAATGTTCTGCCAAAGCTGGTACCAGCTCCTTTCTTCTTCTTGGACATGCTATATTGGGCTTGGCCTGATTATCCTGCACAATTATCCCAGGTAATTGGTGTCCAGATAAGAGGAGGTGGTTTAGGTAGTCTGAGCCAAAACCACTCCCTGACACTGAAATCACTGCGGGACTCCCAGTGTATGTGAGTGAAGGGACATGATGCAGAGTTTCAAACATTGAGGCACTCTCAGTATCTTTCCTCAGCGGTTGAGAGAATTTGTTTGCTCCTTGAGGGCATTGCTGAACGTTTATGAGCTGTCGGTGATTCTACTTGCGTGGAAGTAATATGCAAGCAAGCACAGGCTTTGGGGTTTTATGCTTGGATGGCAGAGAGATGTGATAAAACTGAAGCAAGGCCACAGATGAAGCCTACCAGATGTTACAGTTTGAGCACGTTTCCTGAGCAGTTTTTAGGCCATGATGATTGAGGACAATTTCCCATGCTGTTTTGACCCTTGGGTTCACATCCCAGAAAGAAGTAGGAGGAGAGTTGAAGCAGAACAACACTGTTTCTCAGACCTGTCTTGGGGATTTACAGTTTGTTTTTTTTTTTTTTTTTTTTTTATCTGGCCACTGGCTTCCCAGGGATGGGCACTGGCTCTCAAAGGTGTCCAATCCCACTCTGTCCTACTCTCTCCAAGCTTTGCAAGCCACAGAGTGAGTTTTTCAGGGCTTGTGCTTCTAAAAAACTGCCCCAACAAATGTCACACACATTTCTTACAGCACTGAGAGAGTGATGGCTGTGTCAGAAATGTAGATTTTCTATGTTAGAAAAAAAAGGCTGTGATGACTGATGGCTGAGGATGATACCTGGATGGGTGCAGAGAGCTTGCCAGAGCTGTTTGCTCCACAGCAATCCCTCACTGACCTGTGAGGCTCTATAGGAGCCATATGCTCTGTAATGCCTGACATGGGCTCCCTGTGCCTCAGTGTATGTGTTGCCTTCATGGCATGCAATAGAAACTTTTAAGATCCACTTTTAAAGCAGGATTGTACTTGAACATGTGTATGCTCCCAGAATAACCTCCAATTCTCTCGTTTCTCTTTCAGGAAACTGAACTTGCCACGGAGGGCATCGCAAAACCTGTCAGGACAGGTAAGGCATCTAAACTGACTTTATATGCCATTTGTCTCATCTGTGATGCAACTATTGCCCAGGAGCACAAATAAGCCAATTGTGTACGTCTTATCATTTCACATAAAGTCTCTTCTTGGTGAAAAGTCAAGGTAGTAGGAAAAAAAAAAAAAAAAAAAAAAGGAAGAAAAATGCTTTCAAATTACTGGGTACATCCGGAAGCCAGCACGTGGCTGAGGAAATAACAAGTATGTCTGAATCTGCCCTGAGGTGTCTCTGCAAGAGAGCCTTTTTGCCAGAGGATGTGAACATCGGTCTATTAGGTCTTATTTTAAGGGCTAGTTCTTACACATGTGGGCGTAATGTCCCTGTCTTCACAAGGAAAGTGTGCTAGTGTGTTGGCACATATTTCAAAACAACTCAACTGAAACTCCTCCTGTACACCTCTGGTCTAGAGCAGTCCTGTGTTTCCTACTGATTTGTGGGGAAACTGGGGAGGGAAGGGGGAGGTCTAGAAGGGACAAATGAAGAACAGCAGCAGGAGGCACAGAGAAAGGAATTAAGACAGGCAGAGTATGAACAGGATGCTCAAAATAGGAAAAAACTGTCTAACTATACTAACAGAGATGGTGTACCAGCATTCTGCTTTTCTTTGTTATAAATCAGGAGGATTGCAATTTTTTTCATTGACATTACCTCCCTGGTTACACAGCCCTTAACATCAAGTATTTTGACTTGCATATACAGTCCTGGAGGATAGGAGATACCATCACTTCCCACTCTATAGACGGGAAAAATGAAGCACAGTGTTCATCTAGAAGCAATGGCAGAATGAAAAATCAAAGTTCAAGGTCCAGAGGGTCCTAACCATGTAACCATCTTTTCTGCAGCTGCATTTTTGCACACAAGTGACATAATGCAGCATTTGGGCAACACATACTCTGTCTTGGATAACTTTGAACTGGGACTCTTCAATATTGCGCATTTTTCAGCCCACAGGTCTCAAATCAGTCCCTGCATGTCACTCTGTCCTTGAGAACTTCCCATCTTGCCTAACCATAATTTTTTACGTTTTACAATTCCTGGAGGGATTTTCTTTTTCCCAAAGGATGTCCCTAGGACAACCTAAGCACATATTCCTTTCCCTCTATCAAGCTAAGTAGCTCCTTAAGTCTTTCTAAGTCCTTCTTAAGTCTTCTGGTGCTTTATTTTGTCCCTGAAATTCCTCAGAAATAAAGCAGGGACTGAACATACAAGGCAGATTTGGATAAGGGCATTGGGACACTCACATTACAGCCCCACTCCAGTGCATCCCAAAAGGTGCCCAAAAAGGAGTTTGCAAACCTAATGGGGTGCAAAGCATCAGCCTTGCTGCCCATGGTCCTCCATGAGGATGGAGAGTCCCCAGCAGCTGCGAGGCGGTACAGCCCCAGAGCAAAACCTCCACTCTTGCAACACGGCGTAACCTCAGAGAAGTCACCACAACTGTGATGGTTTTCATGGCTGAGTGTTACCACCAGTTAGGAAGAGGTAGTGAAATCTGTCAGTGTGGAGTCTAGAGATTGACAGAGGAAAAGCCACAGAGACTGTATCTGTAGCTCAGTGTCATTTCAAAACAAAGCATGAGCGGTGCTGGCATTCCCAGGGCAGGGAGGAGCAGTCTCACTAATCCAAAATTGCAAGTACATATATATATATATTTATTATTTCATACCAGGTAACCTGTGCCAATTGAGTTTTCTTCTCATCAATAACTGGCAGGTTCCAGGCTGGAGAGATGCACTCTCTCCAGGAATGTACAAGACACCGTTTCATTAGCCAGAAACCTTTCTGTCTTTGGGTCAATATCAGTTACAGGCACCCTCTTGCTCTGAATTCTGCTGCTAAATCTGAGATGATGCCATTAGTGAAAGACAAAGGAGGGAATGATAGAGAAACCCCACAAGGCAGGAAGATTTGCTGAAAGCTGTTTGCAATGGGTGTAAGTGTTCTATCAGCCTAACCCTCACTGCCTGTCAGTCTCTATTGTATGTCTCTGGCAGGGTAATAGAGCATTAAAATATGAGCGAATTACAATAGCCTTTTATTTTTCTCTTAAAATGCATAAAGCAGGGCTAATTGATTAATATATCCCAGCGGGTAATTTAGTGAGGCCTTCTCGGCAGGGAGCTGCCAGGCATCTCTTGCTGACTTCCAAGCAGGGACTTGTGGCGATGGCTGGAAGGGCCCGTCCAGCAGCTGCAGAGCAGCAAGAAACAGAAGCGTAGGAAACACTTCAGGATGGGGACTGTGGTGAGGCAGAAGCTGCTGTGGATTTAGATTTGAATCTGTGTCTGACTCTCAGAGAGCCCAGATGTTGATAGTGTAATTTGGATGTGTTTTGTACTCACCTTGTTCAAACCTGAGCTTTGAAGCCCTGCATTGTGAAAACGGACAAGCAAGCAAAAAATGAGCATTGCCAAGTTGCCAGCTGGGTGCTCAGCCTTGCTCCAGCCCTGTGTCAGTATCGATGGGGAGGCTGAAGGTACCTACTTGTGCAAAACATCTCAGAGATGCTTGTAGAGGATGCAGGACTGTGCTAGTGGGAACAGCTGTGGTTTACTCAGGCAGAGACTGTATTGTAATGCAAATGGGCAGCAGTCCAGACACGACTACATCTCTGAATTAATTCTGGAATATTAGAACAGGAAAAACGCGATGATTTCATTTAGATTTCCAATGAGATTATGTTCTATTATTAGCTAAACACCAGTGGGCACTAAAGCAGATTTATAGAAGGTTTATGTCCCTGACTCAGCTGTCGTTCCTCAATGGATGGGTTTGCAGGAATCCGCAAGCAGTAACTGAGAGCGATGCAATGTCAGCTAATTAAATGTTTGTGTGAAGAATGGTATCAATCTCCTCAAATCCTCTGTGCCATTGTTGGTGGAGTATCTGAGCAACAGGGTGAAAGAACAAATCCATCATGAACTAAATGTCTGTGAAATGTTCTTTTCTGTGGAAATATTTCTCCGTGGAAACTCATCCACATTTCATAAATATCAAATCATGTATTAATATGGCTAAAGAGGTATTATTGTTAGGTTAATTTTATCGAGGGAAAACTAAGTCACAGAGAAATTTATGGCCTGCCAACATCTGGAGGTGTTCAGCCCTCGTCATCTCTTTGCTGTCCTCTCTGAGCCTCGTTTCCCCATAAGCACTGTAATCCTGGACGGATGACTTTTCTTCTTATTTTGAACTGCAAAGACACAATGCCAAAATATCTTCTAATTTATAAAAGGAAAAACCTGCAGGTGTATACGCACACACACACACTATTTATAGATATTTTTGTCTGGCAGTAAGATCCATTAGCAGTTGATGGACAGACCAAGAAAAGAAATCCAGCACCCCATTCACAGTTCCGATGGGAAATAGGTTTCCAAATAAAAATCTAACTCAAAGAAATTAATATAATACAGGTGACATTTGCATCCTTGCTACCCAACAGAAAATCAGGGTGAAGCCAGTGAAGCAAACAAGCCTCTCCAGGCTTACATCAATATCTCTGGGTGCAGTTTGGCATCCTGCAACTAAATCTGGTCTCTTCCAGCCTGGAATTCTCCCAGTGCAACACTACTGAGATTGCTGGATTGTTAGTCACAAATCTCATGATAGTGGGTTCTTCAGAAATGGCTATTTCATGTTTAGACCATATAGATTTTTGCCTTCTCAGCTTCAGTACATGTATGTGTTTGTGTGCATACATGTGAAACTGTATAAAGTTCTGTCTGCTCTTGGGAGGCCAGGGCAGATAGGTTGTGTTTCTCAGTTTGAAAAATTTTGGCAAGCCTAGGCTTGCACATGCTAGAAAGAGTGCACAGGCATCCTCCTAGGCAAGCATCCGGGGGAAACTGCAGCTAGGCAGATTCCAGTTAGTCATAACGGAGGCTGGTTGCTTGTTTAATTAATAATGAGATGATCAGTATTGCTACAAAATGCTGAATGTTAGATCTTCTGTCTCTCCAATACTTAAAATGCAAGCTATAGATGAGTATATATATATATATATATATATATATATATATATGAATAGCTCATGAAATTATGTGACCTATGCTACACTGATGAGCAGGCTAGAGACTTGAACAGCTTTGGCCTTAAACTCTACAAGTTTTTCAGTAGTCAGCTGTGTAGTGATGAGTTCATAAGATGTTCTTCCTAAATTTGGAGGAAAGAAAGGAATAATCCTAAAGTTTCCATTTTTGCAACGAGGTAAAATTGGCAGATGAGTTCAGTCCCGTTTCAGTGCACAGGACCACAGTGACAGTCCTTGTTCTCTCAAGGACCAAAGGCACTCGGTGAATGTGTGACAGGCATGGCCACGAGCAGAGCCCAGCTCTGCCACTGAGCCCAGGAGAGGACGTCACGCCGCTGGCACTTGTCACAGCATCGCTCAACTGGGACAGCCATCAGTGCCAGCTGGCAGCTGTTTGCAGGACACTTAAATGAAAGGAGAGAGTTAAAGATAGATACAGGAACTTC